TGTAAACATGCTGTTAGGAGTAGTGTCTAATGAGAAGAAACTCAGCTGCAGTTTAAGTACACCTTTTCATTGTAAATCATTTTATAGATTTCTATAAAATTTTTCTGCTTCTCATTGTTGAAAAATAAAGCCCATAGCATCATCATTATTAGCACATTCATAGAGTGATGCCTTATGCATTTGACATGGGACTTTCTACACCTGCCAAGAAAAAACACTATTTGCCTGAACATAAAAGCTGTTATTCGACAATCTATTCCATTGCTCTGAGTCATTGATGGTTACAGGACTTATATTTATCCTGTAATGCAAAACATTTTCTTCTAGGTCTGAAGTAAAATTATTTCATAAAATGTATGCAGAAACATTCCAAATTATCTTTGTCTTGCTTCATGTACTTGAAAATTAAGTCAAGCATTTGTAAGATTGTTTTCTCTCTTTCTCCGTCTCTCGTCTCTCTCTCTCTCTCTCTCTCTCTCTCTTTCTCTCTCTCTCTCTCTCTCTTTGTGTGTGTGTGTGTGTGTGTAAATATGCATACATGTGTATGCACCAGTAGTTATCCTTCGGTGTTGTTCTCAGAAGCCATTGACTTTATGTTTATAAGATATGGTCTCTCACTGGGACTTGGGGGTCTCTGCTTAGGCTAGGCTGTCTGGACCACTTAGCCCCGGGATCCTCTTGTTTCTGCTCCCCAAAGCTGGAATTAAAAGTGTGCACCACAACACATGGATTTTCATGTGAGTGCTTGGGATTGAACTCAGGTCCCCAGGCTTGAGTGCAATGGCTTTACCATGGTTCCCTCTCCCTGCCCCTCTGGTGGATACTTTTTGTGTGCTGTTTCTCACACTTGCCATTGTCAGTGTAAACAACAAAAGCTGTTTCCTCACTGCTTTGATGAAAGGCTACACTTACTGGACTGACTTGTTTATTATATTCTAAATGATTTTAGGATATGCAGTACATATTACATTGTGTAAAAACAAGTATAACACTTAAAATTTTTTACTTTCATTCACAAATGAGATTGACTAATAGAATCTCTTCCATCTTATGAGGGCCATTGCCATGGTAAGATTTTGGTTATGTGAACTAGGTAGAATGGAGCTAGATGGCTACACTGTGCTCCAAAGTTGGTATGAAAACCACTCACTCGTGGTCCTAGTTAGGGTTTGCTTGCTGGGAAGACACCATGTCTAAGGTAATTCTTATAAAGGAAAACACTTAATTGGAGCTGACTTACAGTTTCAGAGACTTAGTCCGTTATCATCATGGTGGGAAGCACAGCCTCATGCAGGCAGACATGGTGCTGGAGAAGCCAAATGTTCTACATGTTGATCTGAAGACAGCAACTGTCTTCCACAGGCGGCCAGGAGTAAGGTCTGTCTTCTGAGCTGGGCAGAGCCTGATCATAGAAGTCTACAATAGCTGCCTACACAGTGACGTACTTCCTCCAACAAGGCTATACCTCCTTCAGTAAGACCACACACTTCCTATGGGCAAGCATTCAAACACATGAATCTATGGGGAACAAACCTATTCAAACCACCACCCACTAACAAACAAACACCCACTAAGTGTGGGAATGAGCTCTTCTGTGACACTCTCTGAGTGGGGTGATCAATACTTTGAAGAAATTAAAGTGAGATGAAGAGATCAAGGGCACAGGCCTTCTGTTTCAGTGAGGTAGATATAAAAAGCCCCTCAAATGAACAGAAGCCACAGTGAAGTGAATGACAATTTGAGAGAGTATATCCTCACTGAGGAAGCAGAAGGAAAAGCCCTGAGTATAATCAGGAGCAGCAGAGTTAGCTACAAGATCAAGCCTGAGGGGTAGTAATGGGGCTTTTTATTTGATTCAACAGGTCTTAAATTTTGTTCCTTTAATCAAAGTTTTCTATGGACTGCTTGCTTAGCATTTTCTTTTTCTGGCTTTCACGAAGGCTTTAGAACATGTAGTTTCTTTTTGAAGTGCTTGTATATCTACGTATGTGTTTTTGTGTTTGTGCAGGCACATATGTGCTGCAGTGCATATGGCGAGTCAAGAGCTTTCCACCTTATTTGAGATGCTTTCTTGTTCACCACGGCCTATGCTGGGCTAGTTGGCCTTCGTGCTTGCATGGATTCTTCTTTCCCCACTTCCCATCTGGATGTAGGACTACTGGGGTTACAGATGTGTGTTACCATGTCTGCATTTATGTGGGTTATGGGCTCTAAACCCTGGATATTTACACCTGCATGGCAAGTGCTTTACCTACTAAGTCGTCTCTCCACTCTTCAGAACACACATCTCTTTTTGAGAGCAGTGGTGATGATATTGTATAAGTCACACAGCTATTCCTAAGGCCAAGATATAGGATGTTAAGGGGCACATTGCTACCTCTAACAAAACCAGGATTCTGTTAGTAAGGAAGAATAGGACAATAAATATTGGATAAACAGCTAGCAGTACCTTTTATAAAATCCTGTGGGCCTGGTGACTTCCAAGCTATACAGAGTGTTATATCAAGCACAACAAAATCGAAAGATTTCCAGTTTATTTTATGAAATGACTCAGTATCTCATCTCAAAAACTAATAGATATGTTTGAAAGGAAAAAAAGGTTAATTTATTAATATAACTGAAAACTCAAAATACAAACATGTTGTCTTTCCAGTATCCTAAAACAATAATTCATCAGAATCATTTAGAGTCCATAGTATAACAGCAGTAATATCAGAAGTGCCTTTAATATTGGGAAAATTAAAATATAAATCCAAATATAATATGACATATTAAAGGCCCAGTAATAAAAGATATGATAAGTAAAATTGATAAAGGACTTGACAGAGGTCAACACTTAGTTCTGGTTAAAAATCATCTTATGTATCATCACCTTGCCTTCTAAACCTCTGTTCATGCCCATAGACAAAAGCTCCAATCAACAGAAACTTCTTTCTAGTCCAAGGTACTGAGAATAAGCAAGAGTTGTGGGTTCAGCCCTAAATAAGATATTTACACCACTCTCTGTCAGGTTCAGGGAATATTTCAGAGGAGAGAGTGGACATAGGATGTGAGAGCTGAAAGACAGGGTGAAGGAGCTGTGAATGCCATCCGCTAGACTCAGTGCAAACATTGCAATCATCAGTTCACAACAGCAGTGAACCTGCCCATGGCTGGCCCTATCACTCAGTCATGGAAGGGCGAATAGAACCCACCCTTACTGCTGAACTGTTAGCTATTGATAGATTCTGGGAGGAGAGAACCCCTGTCTTCAGTTGTGTAGCCACCCCTGAGCTTGTCAGCTCCAACTAATAGCTCCAAACTCATGGTCACTCAGACAACCGTGGTTAAACTCTGGAGAAGGAGAGGATCATGGAACAAAATGGATAGTCATGAATGTGTGGAAACCTTGCTAATTAAGTTCACATGCTACTATTGTCTGGACAGTTTTCTTGAGGTCCACACAAAATGGATGACTTCCCTTTGCCAGCAGGGCTGCTCCTTCTCTGACATTGTCTGGGGATCCTGACCTCCAACATCCTATACCTGGGGAAGATGAAGTAGTGATTGTCAGACTCCAAGTTCAACTTGCTCTTTTCCCCTTCCCTCTTCCACTCCAACTCCTGAGAACCTGCCTTGCAAGTCCCTAGGATTGCTGGAATGCCTCTCCATTGCAAACAAGGGCATTTACAGAACTTCAAAACTCTAGCCAATGATTTTCATTTACCCTGAAAACTCCTTCCCACTCTCTAAGGTTCACCTGGTTCACCCCAAATGAAGTGTATGCATTCAAGCCCACCCCAAATAAATCTTGAGCAGGATCCTGTAGAACCCCACTTGTTCTGGACTTTGCTTTACCCTTCTAGTCTAGTGTGCAGTGGCATCAATTGGAGGGTGTGGAATCACGGCTGGACCCCAAAATGCATACCATACCACACATGAACATGAGAAAGAAATGTATAGGGGAAGGAGTAAGGGGAGGCAGGTTGTAGAAACAGGGAGAAGGTAGGGAGTTAGAGTGATCATGCATTTGTACCTGTATGAAATTGTCAAAGAACAAGTGTACTTAATAAAAAGAAATAACTAGCCCTAAGTATCTGAGACTAGAAATATAATTCTTTAGTAAATTAAGAATATTTAATTTCCTACGCTAGCAAGTTTATTCCACTTCAAAGGATAAAAGTATATTTTATACCTCCCAAGCCAGGTTAAGCTGCCTATAAAATATACTTTAAAAGAATATCTGAACTAGGGTGACATAAAGCCACAACGATAGGTTCCCTTTTGCTTCTGCAAGTTTCCCAAGGCATTCTCCAAGATGTGTCATGGGGCTCATTCTCTTTTTCCCTCTTCAGCTCCTACCTCTCCAGCTCATGCAAGCCATGAACGCAGCTTGGTAGAGTTCTGTAAATACCAGTACTAAACTTAAGAAAAACATGTACCCATTTATTCCCCTCTAAAAGTAAGGCTACTTTTAATATTTTAATATTTCCTTTGAACTTTTACAATTAGATAGTTTTATGAAATCAAATTATTCTTTTCCTTTAGTGAAGTGTATTAGAGATATTTGCTGAGATCATTAGCTAGTAGGCTAGAGCCTTAAATTATGAAACCAATATGATCTATACCAATATTTTTAGATTTTTAGCTATAATCACAGTAAGAAATAAGCTAGGCTTATTGTTGTTGGTAGTAACCATGTTATGGTCCAGTTTTATTTTAAGTATGAACTTCTCTTTCATAAGTATGAATAATTTAAGTTTAAGTATGAATAATTTGGTTCTAGTTTCTAGTTTTCCTGAGATCGTCAGGAGGTGATGGAGTAGGGCTTTGCTAAATGGTGCCTTCTTTTCTGCCCACAGCTCCCATGTGTGAGGTGCAGGACCTCATTAACCCAAGGACTTCACCAACAGGAAGCTGCATTCTTCACCAGAAACCCACCACATCCCTTTTGACCTGGTTTTCTTTTTCAAAAAGTGGAAACATTTCTTTTGAGTTATTTTTGTTTCAAATTTAAGCAAATGGCTGACCATGGTTTGGATGACATACCTACAGCATGCCCCCACTGTGCATCTTCTCGGGCTGGTCTACTTTGTGTGTGTCCAGCTGGCAACTCTCCAGTTCTGGTGGTGGAAATGTCACAGACATCGAGTATTGGTAGTGCAGAAATTTTTGCTTCACAAGATAGAAAAAAAGAAAGAAATGCCAGCAGAGAATCTTCTCTAAAAGATTTGGTAAATATTGAAGATTCTGCAACACAAATTGACAGCTCATTCTCTATTCCCAACTCGAAGTCACTCCTTATCCTATCAGCCCTTGTCAGCCAATCCGTTGCCTTTTTAGAGGTCTTAAAGAAGACGAGCAAAGGTGGTTAGTTACATGTTTTATGATACCTTCAGTCACTGTCAAAATTATTTCTCAGGATCCCAAACAGTTAAGAAACAGTTAAGAACAGTTAAGTTTGTACAGGAAAAAAAAAAACTTCTTTTCCAAGTTTAACTAAATAGGACTTTTTTGATCATTTTCTTCAACTGATACAGAGTAAGATTTATGACAAAGGTTAATGTGTAAACTGTAGCTTCATTACCTAAAATTAACTTCTAGAATATAAAATATACTTTACAAGGCTGGTTCACATGATTTTCAAATAATGAGTGGATTCCCAGCCAAACTGGTTTGGCTGTATTCATCTGTGTGAAGAGCACAGCGGGGATCGTAGACCATCTTGTATAAGTCTGGTGACAAGGGACAGTAGGTTAGGGAAAGTCAGACTCCGATTCTTCACCTGAACCTTCTGACACTTGCAGCTTCACTTGAAGATTTTCTTTGGCCTAGTGGCCCGAGACTTGTACTGTACTCTGGATTTCAAAACAATAGTCAATTATTCTGTATACAGTAAATGCTATATGTATGCTATCCATTAAAGCTTATCACACTTAGAGTTCACCATTAAAAGAATATTTCATCTTAAGAGTTGTTTTTCAAAATTATCTTTTGGCCCTAGTCCATAAGAACTTCAAATGTGGAGAGAAAACCTCAGCAGCAATGGAGTCGGAGCAATGTCACAGAAGGAAAAGTACCGCACATAAGAATGGATAATGGCTCGGACATCGAGGTATGCAGGAGGCAGGCTGAAGCTACTGAAGAGCCTGGGGTTTCTTCTTTCTAGCAGTTTTTTCATCTTTTTAACAAAATTTACTTATTTTAATTTTAAAAATTTCACAATATATTTTGACAATGTTTCCTCCCAGATCACCACCTACCCACTCAGCTTTATCTTTGTTCTTTCTCTGCCTTTCAAAATAAAACAAACTCCCACAAAGCACAAATGCCAAAATAAACAAAGACCCAAAAGACAAAGATATGAAAAGTTCATATACACACACACACCAATAAAAACAAACAAACAAACAAACAAAAAAACAAACCATGGATTCCATTTTATGTTGGCTAAGTGCTCCTGGGCATGGGGCCTTCCCTGGAATGTGGTTGATATACGCACAGTGACAGTCCATTTGGAGAAAACCAACTTTCTCTTTGCCAGCAGGTGTCAATTGCAAATAGCTTCTTGGTTAGGGGTAGAATTTGTGTCCACTTCTCCCTCTTCTTATGGGTGTTGCCACAGTCCCTATAAATTCATATGTAAACCTAAGACTAGAGAGGTCATGGGCCCTATGGGAAAACCTAAATCTCTCATTATGCTAAAGGAATATAGCAGTAAAATAAGTTCTGATGCCATGGCGCAATTCCCATAGGTAAGAGTCTCACTCAACCCTCATCTGGGAGGCATCTTGCAGAAACGGGAATTAGCACAGAGACCCATGACTGGACAATGTGCTGAGGTAGTTGGAGCATTTAGTTCTAATGTGATGTCTTCATTAAATCCATCCCCTCAAGGCTCAGGGATCTATGTGGAAGAAGAGGCAGAAAGATTATAAGAGCCAGAGGTGATGGATGACTCCTAGGAAAGACACACCAGACCCAAGCTTTCAGGCTTCCTCTAAGCCAATGGTTTGTGACAGAGGCAATTGAAAAGTAAACCTGAAGAAAGGAAGTAAAGACCGCAATAAAAATTTCAAGCACATTGAAATTTTTACCAAAGGAATTGCAGACTTACTTCCTGCTCATGCAGGGCTGAGGGATCTCACCGAGACTGGGGGCAGTTGAACTAAGAATCTTTTCCTACAGGCAGTAGTACACTTTTTGTTCAGACTTGTTGATGATTCAGAGGCCAATTTTGCATAGCTCATCTGCTCACTGCTTTTGTCACCTCTCCATTTTTCCAGTTTAGATAAATACCCTCACCATTCTTTTCAGGGTTCCAATTAATATAAAAGTATGAAATCAGGACTGCAGAGATCGCCGTTTCAGTAAAGTGCTCTCAGGGCAAGCATGAGGATCAGAGTTGGATCCCACTCCTGTGTAGACAGTGGGGTGCAGTGGCACCAGTAGCTCCAGGGCTGGGGAAGAGGGAGAGAGAGATGTAAGCAGCAGGAAAAAGGAGCTTTGACTCAGCTGCCTGACCCCACAGAGGCTTCCCTGGTGGTATTGCCCCAGCAGGTGTCCCATGTGTCCTGGGCCCTGGGCATGATGGGTTCAGAAACTCTCTGTACTCTGCTGATGATCTGCATCACAGGAACTTACGAATGCTAATCCTCAAGAAATGAGAAGGAGTGAGCTGTGTGGTTTTTATTTTGCACTGTGAACCAGAACACTGCTGTTGGCCAAACCAGTTCATTCTGTCTTTGAAAACAAAAGCTAAATGATAAATCAGAAAGATTCTTGGTTTAGATCAGTGGTTCTATGGAAGCAAATGCGTAGTGTCTTGATTTGATCTTACCCTAGAACAGAATTCCTCTTCCCTCGGCAGATATCTTCCAGTATTGTATGTTTATTCTTAATGCCTGGTGAATGCCAAAGAGACAGAGGAATTCTTTTTTTTTTGTTTGTTTGTTTCCAGGAATTCTATACCTTTGGAAGAATATTGGGACAGGGGAGCTTTGGAATGGTCATTGAAGCTATAGACAAGGAAACGGGAGCAAAGTGGGCAATTAAAAAAGTGAATAAAGAAAAGGTGAGGCTTTCCCATGTGGCATTCCCAGGGTACAATGCCAGGGTAGGGTAGGGGTGGGCAGTGTGGCTTCCCTCATTAACCCAGGTTGTGTCTTCCCTTGAGGACCAGGACTGGACTAACTGCTGAAGTATGGGGACTACTCTATTCTCTTGTGATGGCACTAGTTCCTGTACTCAGGCAGACTGGTACTGTCTGGAAAATGCAAAAGCATCAACAGAACCAGTATAATTAAATATGTAAACTTTACAAGTAAATTTGAAGTAAAAACTAGTGCTCAGGATGTGTAGGTATAGGTCTATAAGCATGAAAGTCTTAGCTGGAAGTAAATCCTGTTGCCCCTCCTGAGTTGTTTGATACACTTTTCTTCTATTTTCTCATTTAATTGTGTTTCCTTACTGTTGGCCAATCCTCCTTCCAGTCTAGTCTACTGTCCCTGTGTCCCTGATGACTCTTTCTGTGTTAGTTGTTGGCAGAGGACTGGGCTTCTCTTTAAGGTAAAATCTAAGACCTCAAACTTTACGTCAGTTCATTATCAACTTTTAAAAATTTTTCTGTCTGAATAAAGAAGCAAAATGACACCATTATGGTGTTTTCTTCTTGTATTTGTGATAATAAGTATTGGAGCTATAAAATTAAGCAGTAACCTATATGCATCTTTTAATTGTAGTAAGTTCCTGAGTTTAATGAGGTGACATGTCAACTTTAATAAAGCAATTAAGACCCCTTTTAGCATCTTTTATAGTTCTTTTGAAGCATACTACAGGGCTGCCTGGGATGCTGCTTCTTTGCTTTTTTGTTGTCAATAGAGCTAAAGGTTCAGTTTGGGGAGTATAGCTGCAACTTTAGGAACTACTCTTTCATTCATGTACTGATATTGGCAATACAGTAACTAAAGTAGTAAAATAAATGATACCTCTCAATACAGGAACTGGACAATATATTATTGCAGTATGTCCAGGTCAAGACATTTGGGGAAAGAGGTGGGAACAGATGAATAGCAGAACAGTTTCTAACTTTCCAGATCTACCCTGCAGAAATTTTCACTCCTCGTGATCACTATTTCTCTGAACCTCTAGGCTAATCTTAAAATGTGCCTTTATTGTACATGAGCGGGCTGTAGCAGGGTGGTCAGTATCTTCCTCACTCAAAGTGAAGGCTGAACAGGAAAAAGAACTGGAATCAAGAATACCCCTAAGTAAATTTTTTTTAAATTTTAAAATAATTTTAGAATATGTTTGCTTTATAATCAGTCTATTTTCTCAGGAATCATTATGTACTTTCCCAAACTGGAGCTAAAGGTGTATGCAGAAATCAGTCCTTTGTTACCTCTTTTAAGAATATTTTTATCTTGAGAAAAGACCCATAAAGGAGGAGAATATTTATCTTCAGATAATGGCAATTCCAGGATCAGGAGAGTAGATGATCTGGGCCAGAGTTGGAGAAGATAGAGAGCACCCTCGAATTTTCTAGATGATTAGACAGTCTTGCCTACATCTCAAGGATATCCATGTGCTCCCTGGAAATATCTTCATTTTACCCTTTGTCCCAGGCACAGTAAGGCTTAGATATTAGGAGACACATTGGGCTTGGATTAGTCTTAAGGCAAGGTCTCTGCCTCTCTTTTTCTCCTCAGTTAATCAGAGAGACCTGGAAGTAACATAAATACTAGATTAATTGTAAATATAATATGATACAATATGTCACATATGTATTATATATGTAAATTAAATCAAAACGAGACAACAACAAAAGGAAATTTTTTTGTTGTAAAGCCATCCCTGATTGAGATCCCAAGAAGATTTTGTTTTTATTATGCTGATGCACCAGGATTACTGTGATTGAAAGAAATATCAAAAAGACACTAAAATTGGAATGAAGGCCAGAGGCTATATTTATCAAATTTATGGAAACAGTTCAAGAGCTTGACCAAGGCCAAGTGAAATACAACTTGAAAATGGGCTAAGAAAAGAAGGGGCATAATTTGATCTGATTTTGGAATGGGAGATCCACTTCTCCATTTCTCTTCAGAAAGGAACAGGTCTCCAAGGGCTATCAGCTCAACATGACATAACGGTTTCTTATCTTTGTCTTTCCAATGTGTTTTAAGAAAGATACTATTCAAAACTGCAGGAAAGGGTATAAAATAGCTAACTTTCATACTGAGGAAAGTTGGAGCGGATTCCCACAAGCAACCTGTTTCTTCATTGATTCAGGCTGGAAGTTCTGCAGTGAAGTTACTCGAGCGGGAGGTGAACATCCTAAAGACTGTCAAACATCAACACATCATCCACCTGGAACAAGTGTTTGAGACGCCTCAGGTAAAGTTCCATCAGGAGCTGCAGTTGGAAGGTTGTTATTATTACAAAATGAATATCATTCCATTCCAAAGTAGCCCTCTGGGGCACAGTTGCTCATGTCCTTGGCAAAAATATGTCACTAGAGATTGATGAGAACATTCTGAAGGGCTTCTGTTATTGATTGTATAATTAGGTGTGTAATGATTAGATTGATGTCTTTAGTTACATGTTGTAACTGAGTGACACATTAGAAACAAATGTTCAAAATTAGAAAAACATCATGCAAATCAAATAGCAAGTAGAGCTTCCTCAGAGATGGCATCCTTCCCCAGTTGTCTTAGTCCATATACCATAGACCATTTGATTATTGGCATGATTTTGCAAGGTTAGCTTCAAAATAAAATTGACAAGGTTTACTTAGCATGGTGTAAAAAATACTTTCTTTCCTTTTATTTTTAAAATTATTTTTCTTTTATACACTATATCCTGACTGCAGTCTCCTCTTCATTCACTCCTCACAGTCTCCCCCACATCCCCTCTCCCCCAGATCCACTTCTCCTCCATTTCCCTTCAGAAAAGAGCAGGCCTCCCAGGGCTATCAACTACACACTTTTTAAATTTTTTTTTTAGTTTATGAATTTGGGCATCACTTCCACTACCTAGAAGTAGTGTACTAGATAGGTTAGGCATGTGGACAGATTATGTGTTTCTTTAAATCCTAATTCTATTACTTATTAGCCATGAGAACATAGTCAAGTTATTCAACTTCTCTCTGAGCAATTGTCTCACCTGTGAAGTGCTGAGTCATCTGACTATTGAGATCAAGCATCTTCCTACCCTCGAGGCCTTGCTGCTGTGCTCTGTACACTCTATGCGGCCACTTCATTCCACAGATATCCCTCTCATCTCATCATCTCTGACAACTCTTCTTGCCCTAGGATGTGGCAACTCTTCCAAGGGTAGGACAATCATGGGCTTGCCTCATGGGCTTCTTTCTCTCAGACAACACTACTCTATGATGACAAATGCTAATGTCTGAAAATTATGTTTTATAAGTGTTTCCATTTAACTTGTTTAAGCAGAGGGGCAAACTAGTCTGTTACTCTACCACCTGTAAAAGCAGGAGCCCAAATACTCAAGAGTTTGAAGGCAAGAGAACTGGTTATCTGTGGATATCTTTTTCTATATTGCTTGAGTTTGATTCACATGAGCTAGATCTATAAACACACACATGTCTAGACTTTGCTCTGAAACTATTCTGAGGAGATGGCTGTCTGACTGCTGTACATTGCTGATCAGCCACTCAGACTGTGTAGTGGTTCCCTGTAAGTCTAATAGACTCAGGAGTACTTTATCACTATAACTTTGATCAGCATGCGTTTAACATTTTTAAAAGATTTATTTTTTATTTTATGTGTCTATGTACTGCCTGCATGCAGAACCCAGAGACTAGAAGAGGGCGACAGACCCTCCCCGAAACTGCAGTTACAGATGCCTGTGAGCTGTCATGCATGTGTTGGAAATGGAACCTGGGTCTGGAAAAGTAGTCAGTGCTCTTAACAACTGAGCAGTCTGTCTGGCCCCTCATGCATTTTAAAATTGATGTCAATTTGTATCATAACTATTGCTAATGCAACCTCCCCTTCTAAGTACTCCACTTACCATTTCATGTTCCTAGCCACCCTGTAGCGCTGTCAATGAAAAAAAAAAGGTATGACCCAGCTCAAAAGCTTATTTGTCAGATGTTACAGACACTTTAAAACCTAAAGCAGCCTGAAATTCAGTGAATCAGAATTGTGGGTCTATGAAGAAAGATATTTACCTCTCTTCCTGTTTTAGTGCATACTGCCTGAATACAGACGTTGTATTAGCAGCTATTACAAGAACAGAATCAGACCTCCAAATCTTCAGAGCAACAAGACTCTAGAACATATGTTAGAATGGAAACATGGAGGGTAATTGTGTCTGATGACAGGGCCCATAAAAAAGGCATGCCTTTTAGTTGAGTAGACATCTTTGACTCAGTAAGTGGCTTTACTGTGGGATATCTAAAGACATCTTACTATGCCTCAAAAGGAAAGACAGACACAGGAGGCATTTCATCCCTGCCTCCTTGTCACTGTACCCACTCATTCACTGAGTCCTGGTGTCTATTCTTGGCACTTCTCATGTATTTTTCTCCCCTCTGTGATGGTTAATATTTAAACCTGATAGAGTCTAGAATCATTGAGAAGACAAACCTCTAGGCACACTTGTCAGGGATTATCTAGATTAAATGAGCTTTTGGTCATGCCTATGAGGAATTATCTTAACTAGGTTAATTGAAGTGGGAAGACCCACTCACTATGGGCAGCATTATTTTATGGGCTAGGGTACCAGACCGAATAAAAAGGAGAAAGTTGGGGTTAGTGAGAAGACTTGGTGGGCAAGGTGCTTGTATCCAAGAATAATGACATGAGTTGGATCTACATTGTAGAAGAGAACCAAGAACTTGTCCTTTGATCTCCATAGGTATGCTGGGGCATACAGAAACATGTGCATCAGTTTTAAGATTTTAAAATCATTTTAAAAAGAGAAAGCACGCTGAGTACTAGCTCTCATTGTCGTCTGCTTTTTGCCTGTGGATGCAATGTGGTCAGTTAGCTCAAGCTTCTGCTGTGCTGGCTTTCCCATCATAATAGACTGTACCTTGAACTGTGAGCCCCTTAAGTTACCTTTTCCAGGATACTTTATCACAATAGGAAAAGTAACTGAGAACCTACCTCCCTAAGTGTCCAGCCTGTGCCTCCCAGGCGCCCCCTGGTAAGATGTACAGCCTGTGACCTCAGCCTGGCCTTCTGCCTGTTTCTGTAGGGCCCATAAATGAAGTTTTCTACATTTCCAAATAAATGACAATATTTAAAAGACTAATATTTCATAACATTAAAATTACACCAAACTCGGCTTCCTGCGTCTGTAAGTATAGCATTGGACTGTTTATGGCTGATGTCAAGGCAGCTGCTGACTGTACTGTTGTAACAGAGACCATGTCACCCACAGAGACTGCGGGTGTTTACTCTTAGGTTTGGTCTTTATAGAAAACTTTTGCTGAGTCCTGATGTAAATTCATATTGTGGTGTTCACCTAGAAATGCAAAATTGACATATATAACTCCCACCTCAAAACTCTGACTTAAACTCCTCCCAATGCCTTGTTTTATAAGGGGCTTGGGAAGGCCACAGTCTTGAGCTTGTTATCCAAGGCTCTGTACAAACTTGTTCCAACCTTTCCCTCTTAGCTTCACCCTTCACCATAACCTCTTTCTACCCCACAGCTTCCAGTATTGTTAGTGCAGATCTATGCGTTATTTTAACGCTGCTCTGTTCCAGGCTTTAGGGGCTTTGTACGCTGGCCACCAGCTCCACCTTCCCTTCCCTTCTCCACTTTCCCTTCCCAGCGATGACTACTCACACATTAGTCTGAACCCTTCTCAGTGAGCATTCTTTATGAAGAGGCTGCCTGTCTTCCACAGACACATGGCATGTTAGCTGCTGTTATTATATCATATGATAATGTAAATCTGCTGAGCTTCCTGAGGTCAGCACTCCATTGCTTGCCCCTCTGCTCCGCTTGTATTCAGGACAATAGCTTATATATAGTCGATAAGACATTTTCACATTAATAAATTAATATTGTAAGCATACTCTTGATACCTGACACATATAACTTTATAACTTTCTCTTGTTCTGCCTTTTAAATCTGTAATGTCAGAAAATGTACCTTGTGATGGAGCTTTGTGAGGATGGAGAACTCAAAGAAGTCCTGGATCAAAAAGGGCACTTTTCAGAGAATGAGACAAGGCTGATAATTCAAAGTCTTGCATCAGCCATTGCGTATCTTCATAACAAGGGTAAGAAGAGGACTGTGTTCACCACCATCTCCATTCAGGAAGATAGCACTGTGGTTTAAGTGCGATGGTTCTTAGGACTCATAATTACTTTGGTAGAGCTTGGTAATGCAAGAGGAGAACAAGTACATTTTCTACATTTTCCCTCTTAATTGTATTAATGAATGTTTTAATTAGCAACAAAGCAGTCATAAAATCACACTGTCCATGAAAAGCAAACAGTCATGACCATTCTTATTTTAGAAGTTTAAAATTGGCTAATATGATCAAAATTAAAGTAGATAAATCAAAATGAATTTCCCTGAAATATTTGTATACCAATGTCATTAAAAGTGTATGTGTTCTAGCATTGTCAAACAGTAGGCTTCAGTTTTAGAGCAGCTTGGGTTCAAAGCAGAAGGATCAGAAGTTTCCAGTGTACACCCTGGTGCTACATGTGCAGGAGAGTTCTAAGACAAAGCCTGGGGGTCATATATGAGAACTGTAAAGTGATTAGCTGTAATTGTCAGTTCAGGTCTAGTTCAGTTGCATTTCCTAGATGTTATACACTTAACTTTCTACAACTTGAGAAATGTTTGTTGTAGCTGTGAACTCAGCCAGTTATTTGCAGAGGAATGTTTGATACATTATTTTAATGCACATAGAACTATCACTTCAACCCTGACCTGTTCAACTAGGTATTTGTGTTCCATGATCTATATTTTTTACTTTAACCTACAAACAGTCAGAAAATATATGCTGATATCTTAGAAAAACACAGTCAATGAACACGTAGACAAGTTACAATATGTTAAAATGTCTATGCTGACAATAACATTATATATAAGCCTATTTAGAAAGCTAAGGATACAGAAAACCTTCCTGGGCCTGTGGTGAGACCCAGATTGCCTTCATTCTCCTAGGAATATGCAGCCTCTGGTAGATCCCTTTCTGCACTCACCAGGCTAAGACACTAGGTTGACACAACAGGGAACATGCAGAGATGAGAAAATGACTTCTGATAGAGATGTAGAGAAGTAAGTAAAAACAGAAGAGGGAAGCATCACACGGCCTTCCCTCAGTCTTTACTTGTCTGCCCTGTTTGTGTCCTCTCCACCCTTCTGTTGCTCACCTTGCTTGTCTTTGTTTCCTTGGTAGATATAGTGCACAGAGATCTAAAGCTGGAAAACATTATGGTTAAAAGCAGCTTTATAGACGATAACAATGAAATGAACTTAAACATAAAGGTAAGAGCCTGGATACTACTAAGTAGTTCCTGAAAATGACTAGCAACCAAGTAGCTGCAGACATCTTAGACACATTTTGGTGACTTTTAAATCTAAGCCAATTGTGCTAAGAAGTTAAAGAGTTTACAAAAGAAGTTGCAACTGATGAAAATAATTTCATGAGCTAAGTGATGCTATCCAATGTGTTTTTCAAAATGCATACTCCTTTGGATAGATATAAAGCATTAGTTAATAGCAAGGAAACAGATGCTCTGAATTTTAATTAATTTCAAAATTATGTCTGGTAATTTGATGTAAATGTGTTACAGATTTAGAGAAAAACACCTTGGCTGTGCTTTTGATACTAAATTAATGCTACAGTCTGAATTTCTCATTGAAATTTTTCCTGAGTATTAATATTTATGTCTTAACCACAATTAATGTGCCAAGTGTTTATTCTTGAAGATTTTATTCAAACTAAGTGTTCCTTAATGTCAAATAAATGATAGAATACATTATTTATTACTTAGCACTTTAATAGTGGCTGCTTTCAAAATGTGTGCAAGTGTTAGCTTTAGACTCAAATGTGTCTGTAAGTTGCTGTTGCTGAAGCTAAATCTGTATGCAGTATAAACAGTCCAGCAACATTGCTGGTGTCCCTCGGTGAACGCTCTTTCTGGTTCTGCTGTAGACTCCATGCAGCCAGGAATTTCGGCCATTTTATTCCTTGTTAGATTGTGCAGGAGTGCCTGAAACAGAATATGCTCAGTTAACGTTTGGTAAACAAGTGACTCAGTGCTCTCCAGATAATGGAACTTGATCATGAAGGCTTTAATATATTTTGTATTTGTAGAAATGTTGTGTGGAGAAAGATAGATATTATATGCCAAGCGAGATATTTATGGAAACGTCTGGAATAATTGATTCAAGGCATGCTGATGCACACTTGTATTCCCAGCACATGAGAGGCCAAAACAGGAAGACTGCTATGAGTTTAAGGCAAACATTGTGAGTGTGAGTTTAGGTCATCTGAGCTACAGAGTGAGACTTTGTATCAAAGAAAGGAGAGAGAGAGAGAGAGAGAGAGAGAGAGAGAGAGAGAGAGAGAGAGAGAGAGAGAGAGAGATATGAGCAGAACGTAATTTCCCAGTCTCATATATTAATTAAGAGCCTTTCCTTATCCTTTGTAAGGTACTGACAATTTTGCATTTAGTGTGAAGAAAGAACCTGTGCTTTGCTTGTATGATACATAAATGAGCCTGTGTTTCTGCTTTGGGTCCAAGGGCGTTCCATTTGGAAAGACAACCAAGGGTACATGCACAATATTTACTAACTGAAGGTGTAATTACTGCACTTTGGAGTGGAGCAGGGGACTGGAGCTGCAGCAAAGGCCTTCAGCCCATCTGTGGCCAAGCCATGTTGAAGTGGGCCTTTTTTCTCCTTGCTAATTTGCTTAATTTTAAATAGTGTAGCAATGTTTTAATTAGTATACTCTAACTCACAAAGAAAATAATAGTAATGAAAGCCAAGTATTTACTAGTTATACATATTTTTAAAAGTCTTAGTGAGTGTTGATAAGGATAATTATTTGCATTTAAACAGTGCTTTCAATGGACCATAACATTATTAACAGAAAAATAGAAAACACATTCCGAGGTTAGGCTGTATTTTGCAATGAAAGAACTTATAAAATCTGTATCAAGAAGTTAATAAAAGGCATGAACAGTCAACATCATGAGTTCTCTGCATCAAGTTTCCTCTCCACCCAGAGAGGGTGGGCAGAGAGGGCAAGTCAAGTCTTTTATTGGTAATAGAAGGAAAAGCCTGTCCCCAGGAAGTGGACAGATGTCACTGGATGACTGAGTCGTGTGTCTGTTTTTAGGTGACTGATTTTGGCTTGGCTGTGCAGAAGCATGGCTCCAGGAGTGAAGGCATGATGCAGACTACATGTGGTACTCCTATCTATATGGGTAAGTGAGGAGATTAGAAAAAGCTAGAACTCCTGAAGGGTTTGGTGGCCTGTGATCCAATCATCTGGGAGGCTGAGACAGGAGGATTGCCATAGGTTCCCCAGTGAGCTCTGATTCATAGACTCACCATGCCAGTGAGATCACAGCACTTTCATTATCCTGTCTCTTTCTACCAGTTTCCCTCTCATTCCCAATAATTCCCAGTGCTCTCCATCACCAAACTCAGCTGTGCCTGATTATACGCTGTGTGCTCATTTGTGTCTTCTGTTCCACGGAACAGTTTTGCTATTTTATCATGCTGTTGTTGTATCAGTAGTTTATCTGTTTTTATTGCTGAAAAGTATACTTCGTTCATTGCTTTTTTTGCCTACTTGCTGCATAAAGTTTTTAAATTGTTCTATCTTACAAGGGAAAAGGCTACTTTAGATTCTGTTCATATCCTCCCATTGGCAAAAGACATCTGGTCTGTAGTTGCATGGGGAAAATATATCCAGCACCCTGAGCTTTATGCCTGCTTATTAGTTGTCTACACTGATAACAAGTGAGAGAACAAGAGGGAAGACAGATGGTTGTGGAGCTTTGCTGACTTCCTAAATGGCTCCTTGGCACAGATACTCTGGCTTGTGCCTCCCTGAGGGCCAGGATGACAGTGCAAGTAGAAATGCCCCTGATAATTAAGAAGACTCTGAAAAGTGGAGGCCAGGAGTCCTAGGTCCTGCTTTATGGAGCAGCAGTAAAGTGCAGCAGCCTGCGTTGAATCTGAACTTGGAATTTGCCTTCTTGATAGACGCAGCCACTGAACAACTTGCCCTTTGATGGTTCTGTATTTAACACCTTATGTACAATTGAAGACTGCAAGAACACAATAATTGCTAAAAGAGGAATACTGTAAATTTTCAATTATTTGGAGACAAATTGTTCAACTTGTGAACTATTAGAGTTCTCCTGTCTATGTTTTGGCTTCTTTTTGTGGTTTCCATTCCATTTAACTATAGAGGCTGGGAAAATTAAAATTCCATTTGCTTTTAGTAGTTGTTATAAAAGTGTGTGTGTGTGTGTGTGTGTGTGTATGTGTGTTTGTGTGTGTGTGTGTGGTGTGTGCATGCAAGTATGCAAGCACGTAGCCACTGTGTTCGTGGAGAAGATTGGAAGTGTTCTCTTGATAAGCACACAGCTTTCCCATAGCAACTACAAAGCAAAACCCTAGAACTTCATCTTTAAAGCAAGTGCCATGTTGTGAACACCTTTGTTAAGCAGAGAGCACAGAATTGAGTCACACATACTTGGAACCTCATCTGTGCTGACACTCCTTAGTGTTTTGACCCAGTCTTAGGTGAGTGTGCTTTATACCTCAGTTTTCTTACTTAGGAAACATGGGAAATAATGTATATTCTGTCATTATAGAGCTTTGGAATTATAATCATTATTATCAGTATTCTGCTGAAGTGGTTTATAATCACAATAATAGCTTTTCTTTGCATCCAGATTTGGACATATTTGCCTTGATTTAAATAATATTTAGCAAAGTTGTATGTTTCCTTCTTTTTTTGGGAAAGTCTAATATACTATTGTCTTCTACTATAACTATACTATCTTTGTAAAAATCAGTTATTTCATATGAATAGAGAACTGCACATTTAGTAAAGCAGTTTATGCCGTTGTCCCATTAGGGGCTAATTGATAGAGTGAGGATTTGGTGACATCAGTTGGAAAGTCTGTACATTATTCATTTAGCATCTGCTGTTGGCTCTTCATTTCCCTCCAGAGGAATAAATTACAAAACACATCAGCACATTTTTCATGCTTTGTATTTAAGCACTTAAAAGTAATTTATTGTATTACTAATATTATTTTATTTTTGTTTATTTGGCAGCACCAGAGGTCATCAATGCCCATGACTACAGCCAGCAGTGTGACATTTGGAGCATAGGTGTCATAATGTACATTTTGTAAGTAGCTTCCTGAATGCCCAGTGTAAATAAAAGTGAAGTCTCTGGCTGTAGATTGACATAGATTTTAAATTAAAACTAAGCAATATATTTTTAAAGGAGTCATTTAAAATCCAACCAAACTGCATCCTGAGTGCCCTCTCACTAGGTCTCAGGATCACCTCCTAAGTATTTGTTTGATTTATACATTCACATTGTTCTGTTTTGCTTTGCACTAATCCACAAATGGAACAGTGTCCAACATGATCTGAGCTAAGTGAAAATCTGTTCTCCCTGGTCTCTTGCTGCAGCTTAGAGCTTCATCTGCAGCCCATCAGGACTAGGGACATGGGGCCGCCTGCCCCTAGAGCTGCTGGCACAGTGGGGGCTGGTGCAATCAGGTAGAGGCTGCTTTAGGATTAAGAGTGTGTTGTGTTTCTCAGTTCCCACAGCATCTTGGAAGCCTCCACAATTCTTGCTTGTCCTTCCCTCTCACTCTCAGGATTCAGTCAAATCCTAGGTCCTGACGCGTTTGCCTGTGAAGTGCTCTCATCCTGGTGAGAACATCTTCACCTCTCTTCGGTCCTATCAGTTCATCTTTCTGGATGTTTTTCCTGCTTCTGTTCATCCTCCACTTCATCTGTTGTTCACACTGCTCTCAGGGTTGTCTATCAGACTCTGGACTAAAGCCTTCTGATGATTACGCCTTGCTCTAAAAAGTTATCAGAATATTTGACATGGTGTGACTTAGCAAATCATTTACTACTAACTCTAGCTTGTTTTTCCAGTCTTGAGCTGTGTGTGTGTTTTTATGTACTTACTTTTTCTGTGATGACTCTCAGCTACTCTTTATCACACACAGTCTATATTGCATGGTGTATGTGTGTGTGTTTGTGTATGTGCATGTGCACATGTGCGTGTCATGAGTGCTTACCCTTTTCTTCTTTGAACCTCTCTCCCAGGTGGGCCAAACACTAAAGCTTTCTATTTTCCTAACTCCTACCTTACCACAGCCAATATTCCTTTATTATGTATAAACTTTCCTGCATTCCACATAGGATTTAAGGCATCATACAAAATAGCATGCGCACGTATTCAATACGACTGGGATGTAAGTTTAGTTGGTAAAGTGCCTGCCCAGCACACAGGAATTCCTGGTTTGATCTCCAGCATTGTATACACCAAGTGTGGTGGTTCATGCCTGCAATTTCAGCTCTAGCAAAGTGGAGGCAGGAAGATCAGAATTTCAAGATCACCCTTGGCTACATGGTCTGGTCTAGGCTAGGCTGGGCTACATGAGACCCTGTCTCAGTGTAACAATAGCAATACTAATATAGAAATATTTAAGCAGTAAGGTTTGCTTGTACATGTGTAGCATTGATAGCACTCATTATGCTGCATAAATAACACTTTTTAAAACCAAATTGCATGGTAATATAATATTCTGTCTTATCTGTTTCTTTGTTTTAAGTTCTGTGAAAGTTCAAATTGTCCATCTTCTGGCATCATTGTTCATCATTCTCTGGCATCTGATACAACAGTCAGCCCATATTCAGTGCTCAATACACATGTTAAATTGAATTAAGTGAATTGTCTAAGAGGTGTTCTGAAAAGTTAGTGACCACTGGTCTTGTCTTTCATTGAATCTGAGCACTTTTATGTTGATGCAACATTAGTTTTATGGTTGTGTTGGATATTTTGCTGTGCACCACCTCTCCCATATCATATCTAAACACTAACATCAGTGTAGTAACATTTTCACAGTTGTGTGAAATGGAAGACAGTTGGTCCACATGCATCATTGCTTAGACAGCATGAAGTATGAATGGATTCATAAAGCTTTGATCATTGTTTTGTGCTGGTTAGAATCATGGTACAAACATCCAGAGTTTCGTCTTTAATTAAAATGTAACTATTTAAATAAATCTTTCATACTTTTAAGAGTGTCTATACAATAAAAGTCCATATTAATCTGCATAATGAATCATTACAAAATCCATATGGTGTTTGCTACTTTTTGAATTTTCTTTTAAGGAAATCTAAGTGTATTACACACCTTTCATTTTTCCCTCTTTCTTAAATATCTAATTTGAACATTTCTGCTCCAAAGTGTAGCTGCACATCATTGTAAAGGCATCTTCCTTTCTTCCCAGAGGATTCTCTCTTAGCTCACCAGTGCCTACTCATTAATCTGTTTGAACCCTGTGGCACTATAGATAATTCCCTTCACCCTGAGCACAGCACATTACCTTTTCCATGAGGGCTATTTCCTTGTTTATCAGTTAACTTGGATTCATTTCTACTTAATTGGACAATGATAACATACATTCTCAAGGTAAAATTAACATAAATAAATACTCTTTATGGTTCCTGCCCTCTGCTGTCCTGATTCCTATGAATGCAACAGAAAATAATAGAAAGCCTTAAGAAGCATTTTTCATGTCATGGCTTCCCTTTTCTGGATGTGCTAGGAAATTGCTGTCATAAAGTTCCATATGCTGCTGATTGACCAACCATTAGATACATTTTGCGTAAATAAAATTGCAAAAGACGGGAAAAAGTGGAAAATTTAAAATGTAGCCCTTAAGCTATAGTTGCATGCAGAAGCCACTAAGAAGTTGGGAGCCATGCATATCCCTGCTTGATAACAGGCTCAATGAGCTGAGCCTTAGCTGGCCTGTATTTGTTATAATAGATAGTAATTGTCCACACAGCCATTTCCCTGGTTATTTTCTTTTTGTGTCCTATGGCCTTTAAAATTCCATTTTAAGACTAAGCAATAATAAAGGAAATAAGAGAAAGAAGTGTCAGAATGAGCTTGAGAAATAAAAAGTATAGAAGTAAGAATTTGTACACCAGCTTGACAACTACTGATCTGCCACCAAGAAGCTCTTGCAGGAAGAGGCTCTCTGCCCCAGCCTAAGGCCCTCACTGCTGGGAAAGTGCCCTCATTTTCACTGTTATGAAAAATACTGAAATTTAGCTTGGTCAGAAAATGTTCACAATTGGATTTTTAGAATAAAGCTTAGAAAACACAACTGGCCGGGCAGTGGTGGCACACGCCTTTAATCCCAGCACTTGGGAGACAGAGGCAGGCAGATTTCTGAGTTCAAGGCCAGCCTGGTCTACAGAGTGAGTTCCAGGACAGCCAGGGCTACACAAAGAAACCCTGTCTCGAAAAACAAAAACAACAACAACAACAAAAAATACAACTGAATAAAGTCAGTGAAAACATGAAGTGTAAAAGACTCAGGCTTTCTTAGACTGAGAATGGATCACACCTTGGCAGGTGTAATGGAGGAATGCCCTTTGGTTTTTAATGAAGGTGGAAGGGATGTTCCTGGGAGTTGAGTCCTTGACAGGTAGCATTGCTTTTGCTGTGTCACCTCCTGCTGGGGTGTCCCTGGGCATAGTTGTTGTCTTCAGGGTTGTCCTTAGATGATGATGATTATGGTAACTGAGAACAGATTCTGAGGCACTGAACTCAACTCAGAAATATACTGTTACAGTTCTGGCCTAGATCTGCTAATGGAATCAGCTTGGTTGACTTTCCCCAAGCTCTATTAAAAGAAGCTAACAGATTCTGTGTTATAGATGCAGACAGGCCATGCTTGCTTCAGCCAGAGCGCTTGGGCTGTGCTGGTGCTGACCTTGTGGTTATCCAGCATCCACCTTCACTTACTGTGATTGTCTCCTGACTTTCTCCTTCTGAATACTACTGTTGAAGACTTGTGCCTGTTTTAATCTCTTTCAGCTTTGGCTCAGAACCTGCAGAAATTTCCAGGGTTATTCTTTTATCTTATTGTTACCATTACTAACATTTGATATAGTGTTTACCACAGACAAAACTCTTGCCTGGCCATCAAACTCTGATGAGTCTTGGCAGTCTCTGATAACCCATGTGCTTCCATAACCTGTGTACAGTATGGACTTTAAGCGGCCATTTCTCCTTTCTCATGCCACTGTTACTGTGCATTCACCCTCTCACACCTTCCTTCCCTGTAACCCCTTAATCCTAGTATCTCCCCAACCTGCAGAAGCCTTGGGGCATTTGCAGATTTGAGGCCTCAGTGCATAGGTGTGTACTTCCTCTACTGTGCCATTTCTCTTAGCATTGAGAGGAGACCAGCTTTGAGCCTGGGCGGCACCATTGCTTCTACTTTCAGAGAGTAAGTCCTCTCTCCTTCCCATCTGTTACTTACCTACAAAGCATCACTGCTCCAAGTCCTATAGAAAGTTGATTTGTGATAGTCTTACATTGAAAACATTTGAATGAGATGACTGCTTTTGTTTAGACTGTGTGGAAAGCCACCCTTTATGGCAAATTCAGAAGAAAAGCTCTTTGAATTAATAAAGAAGGGAGAACTACAATTTGAAGATCCAGTCTGGGATTCTGTAAGTGATTCTGGTGAGTATGGACTTGTTTTTATTTACCAAAGCAAACAATTAATATAAAGAATTTATTCACTAATGAAACTGTTGCAAGTCTCTGGTTAGTCATAAAGCTACTTTAAATAATATTTGCTTGTGGAAATAGTGATATCTTCACTTGTGATTATTTATGGTCAAAACTTCCAGAAAACAAAATAAAACTTAACTGAACTAAAAATATCAATTAAAAAATGAAAGGGGAAACTTGCTGTTTGAGCCCAATTTTCACTATAGATCATTTATCCAGGTTATCCAGCAGTAAAAGGTATTCAATCTTATTTATTTGGCCTGTGTGTTAATACTTGGTATGCTTTGTATTATGAAATCATAATCTAAGTAAATAGGAAAATGTATAATTTTTGTTTTGTCTTGTTTTGTTAGTTGTTTTTGTAGGATGTCTCTCTCTGAGTTGTCTCAATTTTTTTGGCTCATCTCAAAGTTTTGGATTCAAACAATCCTCCTGTCTCAGCCTCTTAAGTAGCTGGGGCTACCAGCCTTAGTCACCATGACCAGCTGATGTGTGTAACATTAACTGAGGTTAAATGAAATAAGATTTAAAATTTTTCTTCCCTTTTTTTGCAGCAAAAAATGCTTTGAAACAACTCATGAAAGTAGATCCTGCTCACAGAATCACAGCTAAGGAACTTCTAGATAACCAATGGTTGACAGTAAGTTATGACACTCTTTTTTTTAACAACTTTTTTTCTGACATCACTCATTTTACGCGGTCTTATGGTCTTAAAACCGTCAATTAGCTCCATCTTCTGACAAGTTTAAAAGGAGTAGTGAGTCTTGACACATTTCTGAAATGGGCATTTCCAAATGGTGACGACTGTCACCACAGTTGCTTATATGTATTTATAGAGATTCAAATGAACTTTATTTGTTCTTTGTCATGGCTGCTTCATGTCCAGTAGAGTGGAACTGAGAACTGTCTTATGAAATGGATGCAGAGAGAGGAAGATGGCACAGGTCCAGATGTAAAGCTCTAGAACCAGTTACAGCTCACTCAGTTCTCTGGGTACTGAGAGTCTTTGGGGGACCTTGGGAAACATGTCTCCAGATGGTCTTCATTACCTGGGCTGAAATAGTTAGTCTTTATTTGTATGTTGCACCATTAGACTACAAACCTTGTGTGTGGACACTTTAGCCAGAACTCAAGTGAGACTGTTACTGAATCTTTAGCTGGAAACATTGCTATCTAGTTGTGTGTCTTTATTTCCCAGCTTTCTGTGTTAGTCATCATTGTCATCCAATGAGATGTGAAAGAAATATACAGTCTCTAAGTGGAGCAGGCAAGGCATTCTTCCAGCCTTTTCTCTTTCTTGGTGACTTGGAATGTGATGGCTGGTGATTGAATAGTCATGCTGGACAATAAAGCAGGACTACAAACTGGGGTTGATAAACAACAATAACATACAGGGCCCCAGGGCTTGTAGTTCACAAAGTCACAATGCCAACCCATTCTAGACTTTGTTATTTTAGCAGAAATCAAATTATTATTATTATTATTATTATTATTATTATTATTATTTTATCTTTAGGATACTTTGAAATATGCAAGCAAGCCTAATCCCACTTATTACAATTATCAAAATGCAATGAATTACTTCATACTGAGTGATTTCTTTTGAGTGAACAATTACTAAGCCAATAGGTCCATAGAGATCTCAAGAAAAGTCTGAGACTTGATACTAGAAGTTACTATTGCTATACGAGATAGTTATTGACAATATTCACTAAAAATTAAGTATATAATCAGCTAGGTACTATTTTAGGCACCAAGGACACAAATGCAATTATATTTGAACTGAAAATTATTGTGTAGTTATATTCTTAAAAGTCATTCTAGCCACGAGGTGGGCAATTATTTAGAGACAGAGAATTTGGTAAATATTGAGGGACCATTTCTAAGAGGTGGTGGCAGTCTAAAAGGCATAGCAATAACAGAAACAAAGAAAAATACATGTGAGACACAGGCTTTAGAAATATGGATGAAAGGTCTGTGGCTGTAGCTAGCAGTAGAGTATGCACAGTGTGCCAAAACCTTGGGTTTGATCTTGAACATTGAAGAAAGGTGGGGGGAACTGGTGAAATGTGAACCATAGAATATGTTGATGAATTATATGAATAATAAGGATATGGGAGAAAGTGAATGCAATCTAGAGTTTTCTCTAACAGCGGTAGAACAGTGGTTCCATTTATTGAGATATGGACAGCTATGGAGGAGTAGCTTCTTCCTGTGGGGCGAGGGCGGTGAGTCAGGACCTCTGAATTAGGCATGATAATGTTGAAATGATATGTGATAGGCAAGTAGAGATGTCAAATAGAAGAATAGATATAGATCTGGAACTGGGCTATAAATGGGAAAATCATGAGTACGTAGATGCCATGTAAAGCCTCTGGGCTAAAGAGATAAGTTAGGAAACAAGCAAAGACACAAGAGGCCCAGATATGTTTAGGTATCATAAATATATTGTGGTATCAGTTTTTAAATTCTCTAATTTTCCTTTGACAAATTTGAGTCATTTCCTTGAATAACAGTTCTTTTTTTTTTTAAGGCTAAAACCTAGTTTTCAATCAAGAGTGTATTATATCTGCCCTCTTCTGTAACTATTTTGATCTCTTCTGGGATTCTGTGCTGTAATTATTTCTGGCCTAAAGTAATTGTGCAAATGAGTTAGCTGCGAGATCATTGTAAAAATGTATGGAGTAGATTTGTGGTACAGGAAAATAAAAAGTTGTAAAACAGATGGTGTGCCTTAGAATTTGTCTCCTCCCAGCATCACACAACATTCGGGTTTGGCCATTTAATTATTTGTTTTCTAATTAGTACAGCTTTATTTCTGGCTTTGGTCATTTTTCCAGAAGTCTCCATTTTCAAGCCTCTAACATTTGTCTCTCTGAAGTCTTTGCCAAATGGATAAAAAGTGACAGATAATGTGTACTATATTGGACTCTCTTAAGTTCAGTGTATGAAATTTAGAATGCTGGCATTTTACAAACTTCTGAAAGGCGTGACTCGTTTCTTCCTAACACTTGAAGTCTTCCTTCCTGCAATTCATGTCCTCTGTTTGAAATAGTCTAAAGAGGGGAAGATGGTTCCCTAGAGCCTCACTGCTTCATATCAGAGCCTGTTTTTCTCAATATCTAATGCTTGGTAACATTTTCTTTTCAAAGAACTTTATTGGACAAAAAGTGTCTGTAGTTTAGCCGATGTATTGTGCGTTTTGAAGCATGGTTCATATCTTAAAAAGTATTCCAAGAAAAAGAATTATTTTTCTATATACATTTAAGTGAGCAGAATTTCAAATAAATTTGAAGTGCCACCCTGGTTTCAAAAGCTGAATGGTAGATGTGAAGAAAAGCAGCTGAGGTGACTGTTCCAGCAGGGGCAGGGTTTGAAGAGACCTCCTCTGGCTGCCAGTACATGGTTATTTTCTGTGTTAGCTGCTTCACCCTTCCTCTTTCCCATCAGCATCGGATCAGGGGATGGACATTTCTTACTAGATCATTTCAGTGGCCTCTCATTTTCTTCAAATCCCTAGGTCACAGGTTAACACCAAGAATTTACATTTTAAAAACATATGTTTGAGGAATTTATTCTGGCTGCTTACATTTTAAATCCACTGGTATAAATTAGTAGACTTATTTTTCTTCTGTGGCTTGTAAAAAGATAGCTTCCAGTTCCAAGCTTTATTAGAATTTTTCAAACTTAGGTAAATCCTTCGACATGTTTTTAATACATGCTGCTAGGACACAGACCCTCTGGCAGCCCCTCCTTCTCCTAGAAACTAAGCCTTACTCCCCCTATGACTCTCTAGAATACAGAGTTGGTAAGAAAGGATGCTGTGCTGTGGCCTTGCAGTCTCTCCCTCTCGAAGCTACAGGGCAAATCTGTGGTTCTACCTAGTCCTGCCTCTGTGTCTGCCCTTGACTTATAGGCCAGGCCAGCCTAGATCATGTGGTATGAAGCTTGCCCACCCTTTTATCCATGAGTCAGATACTCCCTTTGTTCTTTGGAACTGAAGGATGTGTCTGTCACATCCTTAAGGGCCCCTGTCACATGACATAGGATATTTTTCCTGCTCATGTAGCTCCTCTTGGAATTTGAAGAGAAGACTGTGTTTTCAAGGCCTCATCATGCTGCCTATGGCCTGATGCTCTGTCTTGTCTAATGCTCTCCCACTCTAAACTGGATCATGGCTGTCAATGGTTGTGAGTCGCCTCTCTTACAAAAGTTTATCCTTGGGGCTGGAGAGATGGCTCAGCGGTTAAGAACACTGACTGCCCTTCCAGAGGTCCTGAGTTCAAGTCCCAGCAACCACATGGTGGCTCACAACCATCCGTAATGAGATTGGATGCCCTCTTCTGGTGTGTCTGTAGACAGCTACAGCGTACTCATTAAATAAATAAATAAATAAATAAATAAGTAAGTAAATTTTAAAAAAGTTTATCCTCATAGGTCATTTATTATGTGTTAGCTCCTTACTACAAACTTGCTATTCTTTCTTTACTGCTTAATACCCACCATCTGTCAAGCCCTGTGCTAGATAATAAAATATAGTAAATACATAAAAGGCATGGTCTCTGACATAAGGAACTTACAATGTAGTAAAAAAAAAAAAAAAGGAAGAAAGAAAAGAAAAAAGACCATATATAACATGCAATGCAAGGAGGAAGACATAGGGGATTTCTAAGTGCTCAGAGGGAAAGGGACAGGTGTTAGAAAGCCAGGAAGTTCAGTCTGACAGGCAGATACAATGCTGAAGGAAATGAGTGGGAAAGGAAACCAAGGAAGAGAAGATAGCTGTGAAGGGATTAACCCCCTGGCCGAAGGGTTTCCTTCATTCTACAGTGAAGAACAATCGTGGTGAGGTCAACTTGCAAGGGCTTATTTTAAATGAGTCAGCACCCATTTGTATACCGACCCATACCTTAACAGGTATCACTTGATGTTACATCGCCAGGCACTGTCAGGAAACAAAGACGAACCACATACTTTCTCTCACAAGCCATTTCCCAGGGGCTGAAGTGTGCACTTTGCTCTGTGGCCACACTCTCCAGAGGCTCTGGTGACAATGGTTTGGTGACTGTACCAGTGTGTATTCAGGGCCGTTGTTCATTAATTTACAGATTGTTATTCATGTTTTAGCCATTAGCTTCTGACCTTTAGCCTGAATAGACATACCTGTAGGAGGATGGAAATGTTATGCTGCCTAACTATTTATGGGCTATTTTTTTCCCTTCTATATATTTTCATCCTAAACATTGCAAAATTCCTTCTGCCATTCTACTACATAGTTTCTTTTGAATTTTAAGTTATCTTATCTATACATATGCATGCATATATGGGTATGTTGTTATATCCCTAATTACTGAATCTTTTAATAAAATTATGTTAGGAAAAGGCTCATGAGCTATGATTCAGTCAGTATTCAGTTATTGATACCTACTCAAAACTTAAACATATTTATTGAATAACTGCTATGTACTGAGGGAGACCAGGGAGCTAGTCTGGTATAGTCTACCTGTGGGTTCTCCACACTCTAGTAAAGGATTTAAAGCAAAACACAGGCAGATCTTGTAAGGAAGAATCACACATCCTATTGTTCAGTGGTAGTATGCAATTTGGGAATTACTGGGATAATATTTTAAGTTTATCAAA